AAATGTAACAGTAAAGCCCCTTCTTCCCTTTTACTTTTTATGATTCTATTCCAAGAAAATTAGAAGACAGACTGCACTTTTTTTCACCACATTACCAGCTACCAAGCTTCAAGCCAAGAACTAGGTAGACCTTTATATAGCTATTAGACCTAAATATATGTAAAAATCTGGGTATAGTTTTATTATTTGGCAACATGTCACTTTTTTTTTTAATAATAAGAGATGGGCGAGGAATCTGAACTGGGCTGTTACCTAATTTTAAACATAGGCTGTCCACCTGCTTGGCATATCATGTTCTCCATTCCTCCACTCCACCCCTTAACAAAATAATACCTCGATTTTGCATCCTATTCCACTAACCTCAACGACTGGTTTATAATTACTGCAACGTTATTTGCAGTGTGGAAATGCTGAGATAAGCCATTTTCAAAGACAAACTTCCCTCAAATTCCTACACAGGGAAAAAAATCCTTTTTAGGGGAAAAATTCCAAGTGACCACAAGACAGGATCACGTTTCAGAAGGCATGTCCAGCAAAGACAGACTAATTTTCTTCTCCATTTCAAATACCACCCTCATTTGCTCCTTCTCCCCACAAAGCTGTGATGGCAAATAAGTCAGGATTTAATTCAACGGGACTAGCAAGGTGGTCTGTTTTCAGGCACACAAAAGCACTGGTGGTCTGAGAAGATCAGGAGGAGCAGAAACTTCTCAAAAGCCACTTGAGCACACCCATACACTGGTTAAAACCAAAACACAGAACAACCATGAGGCCATACTTAAAAGGTGCTGCTAAGTTAACTGTTCATTAACCAAAAGTTATTATTAACTTTTTAAAAAGTCAATCTATTCCCAAGCATGTAAAGCTGTTGCTTTCCACACCATCAATTCACTGCTCATATTAAGACTATTTACATATACTATCACTGCTATTCACCTTGAAGGTCTTAAGAGTGCCTCACCACATGTACCTGCCAAAGACACTCAACAATTCCTGGAGCAACAGGTAAGTTCTAAAGCTGTGGCCGTAAGCCCTAGAATATGAGTTTTCATTTAAAGGACGTGCTCCCCCTGCGCCTCCCCATCCCCAATCTCATAAACTTTTTTCTAACAGTCGTAATGGCAAAGCAAGCTTTGAAAACATTAACCAATTTTAAATCAATGCTGGATGTTTGCTTGAATTTGCAGAAAGCCTACAGGAATAGCTCTCGTGTTTGCGTTCTTCCCCTCATCTCAGTGTGGCATACGAAGCTCTCCGCAAGGCAGAAGGAATGTGAGTCTCGGTGCAGAAACCCATTCCTCCTGAGGAACCATCCAGCAGCGTGTGTCACTAACACATTTATTCCATGATCTCAGCAGAACCCGCATGCTTCCCCTAGAACGAAGCCCGAAATACTCTGCTTCCTTCTAACAAAATCTGGTTTTATCTTCCAAGAACTTTTATGATGCAGCCAGGCACTACAAAGTATAGAAGTCTGCGCTGCACTGAGAGCGCAAAGATAGTTAAAATAAATTCATTCAACTGAAATGGCAGGGGGCTATTGTTCTCATGGTTTTGTTTGAAAGAGAGGTTTAATCGAACTGCACAGAAGATGTCCAGGGGAGAAACAGGGCAACTGTGCAACAAGCTCCAGTGTGCAGCTGTACTCCGTGCTGTTGCTCAATTTAGCTCCTGCTTGACACCGAGTCTGTAAAGCCCTTGCTTACATGTGTCTTCCTCTACATTCCCACCCACACGAATCCAAAATCGGGTCTGACCTTCCCCACTCTGTTTGTCAGTGCATCCCCATATAGTCCGGACAAATTCCAGCCACCTGTCCTGCCTGGGCTGCTGACTGCTATGATCTTAACCAGGTGGCCCAGGGCAGCCACGTATTCATGCATGTTTCTCAGCCTGCTGGGGGTCCTGGACCTGGTCACCCATCTCAGTCCTGAATTGCTTCTTCAACTGGAGAATTCTGAAAATAAAGCTGCTGTAAAAGGCCTGCAATACATTCACATCCTGCCACTAGTATCGACACAGTCTAGTGCACAGTGTATCTTGCAGAAGTCTGTTAAAAGTCCTGCTCAGTTTATGACCAAGTCCTCCATGCTTCACTGGCTAATTTGAAAAGTAAAAGGACTCAGCCTAGACTAAAAGATGAAGCGTTAGATGCTCCTGTCCTTAGATCCAGATTAAACGACAGTTTTTGTACATGTAAGACATTTCCACACACACACACTACTTTGAGAAAGTGAAACTGTGGGTGCAGTGGAGGGATTAGGTAGATAGCACAATTGCATAAAAGCTACAAGACACCATTGGGTGTGGTAAGGAAGTATCTCCAGTCTCTGATGTGGGGGTACAATGTCAGAGTTTCACATTTCTAAATGCTGGCAGCATAGATGCCTTCTCAGCCGAGGCTCCTGACAGCGCAACAGTATGTCAACATCAATGTTTAACCCTTTGTGCTCCTCCTCAAGATAGTAAGACGCCATCAGACTGGCACAACTCTAAAAGCTGGCCTTTAAAAACTCAGCACTTCTTCCTTTCCTATCCTTTCAACTTCCCATTTTTCCATCTATCCTTACCAGAGTTTTGCTGGCCTGCTTTGACCTGCCTGCTATCCTCTAAAAGGACTTAGCAGGTATAGTCACTCAACCACTCACTAGAAATATGCGTAGTTTCAAATCCCTGATTTCGGAAAGAGGAGATAAAAGGGGTTGCAACGGGCAATGTATGTACCTCACGGTATTTAGATACTGTCAGTCCACGAGATTTGCCCAAGACTCTCTTCACCCAAGGAGCTGTGCTCCAAACACAAACATCCTGAAAAGTCCTGGCCCTTGCCCTTGAAAGGATAGCTTTAAAAAGACAGATTAGATTTAAACTGTTGCTCTTGCAAAGAACTAAAACAATAAGGTGAAAGATAATTAATTCTCTGTGTGTTTATGTCAAACTCTCAGCACTTCTCCCTCAAACCCCGTTTCCTCACTCGCATACAATGTGGAGTACCCTCAGTATCGCCCAAACTAGTGAGAAGAAATCTCCAGCCACGAATGTGGCAAGACAACCAATTCCTCCTCAAAAAGCGGGTGACGGCCGCTGTGACAACCCTATTTCCCTTGATGCATCAGATCAACTCCAGCTCGTGTTGCGGTGAAGTGCAATGACAACGTGTAACAAGGGCTGAAAAACAAAACCCCACGGGACACAAGCCAGACCTGTAGTGTGGTATGAGAGCCATGCAGATTAGGAAGGGAAGCCATACAAAATGGAAGGACTTACACCAGAGTTCATAGTAGTAGTTGCAACACTGGGATTGTCCACAACAGTGGCCCGTTTCACATATGTAACTTTGATTGTTGACACCCATGCAGGTTTCCTTGTCCTAAAATTAAACAGACACACTTTTAAGATGCTTTGTCAGTATCTTCAGTAAATGTAATCTTTCACTCGATGATCTGCAAGCATTTGAAAAGTCACATGTTATGGGCTTGGGAAACACTAAAATACATAAGGTCGTTAAAATATAGCTAAGGATCACAAAAACCACAACGGACTGCTCAGAAGAAAACCCCGTATCTCCAAACTCATGAGTTACTTTGCTTTAGCATCTAGTCAGAGCCGCTTTCTCATCATCCCTCTCCTTTCCATCAAAAGTTACCATGTTTGGGGAGCCAGGCATTCTCTTAAAGAAGAGATGTCATTTGTTCCGTATTTTACACAATATCACTGCGCTGCAAGGGCTCAATGCCAAGTAGAGGAAACACATTCATAAACAGAACGTTATAAATTGAGGAAAGACTGCTTGGATTCATTTAGATCTAAATGATAATTACAGTATGTTCCTGTGAGATTCCAATCTAAAATAATTCCTTCATAATTAGCCATGTGCTTTATATAATACCAGCATTCCTCTAAAACTTCTTCCTGGAATAGCAAAGTAGTCCAGGAGCAGAGCCAAATCAGCTGTACTGTATCACCCAGCAGGTCCTCAGGACACTTAAGATGGAAAAGGAGTACGGTGTGAGGTCTCAGTGCCCCACACAGCACACCGCTCCACCAAAGGCTGTGTTTTCCTGCTAGTCTGAAGGCAGGGGTGAGAAAAAGTAGAAAACACAGGAAAATAAAAGCAATTTACAGGTTGTGGTTTGTACATTGTCTAATAGGCTTTGGGGCAACCTGGAAGTTAGAAGATACTACACGTTTTCCTGAGAAACGAATGGATCTTAATAAAAAGTGTTGATGTTACAAGCAAACCTGCAAAGAAGTCTAAAATTTTCACCTGCTTTCACTTAAAATTTATTGTAAGGCAAAGAAAACAGGGGGAAGTTTATACTGAAAGATGTGTTGAAAGAATTCATTTTCTAAATATCGCCTTGCAAGAAAACAAACAAAAAAAACAAATAAAAGCTCCCAACAAAACCCAGCCAGCTAAAAAAACCAGTGAGCTAAAGGAATGTACCCCGGTGGATCCCACCACCGGCTGAACCGTGCTGTTCCTCTATTTTACGTGAGTGCACCAAGGATACGCTTCTCACAAGCCTCTGTTGGAGTCTCTGTACAGGCGAAAACACGAAGTCCATTCTGAATGACACACCACCTCACTGAACGAGTGATGCGAGGCAGAAGTTTCAGTGCAGAAAAGTCCTGCACTAAGTTCTTAAGAAGACTCAGTCCATCTGGGGATCCGGGGGAGCATGAGCACTCCCCACCCACGCAGCACCCCGGTGGGAGCTGCCGCTCCCCAGCACCGGGCCTGCGGGTCCCTCGCTGGAGCAGCCGCATTACAGCAGCACCA